CCCCCCCCCCCCAAAAAAAAAATAGTTCACGGTTTGAACTATTTGAAAGGTTCTTAAACCTAAGCAATGGGTACAAATAGGTACGTTAAAAGCGTATAGCCACGGACATAGCTCCTTAAATATTAAAGTTGGCTCAACTTTAATGACACAGTGGATTGTTGCTAAACAGTGTTTGAAACACGGCTGGTTTCCAAGCAATGGCGACGGGGAACCTCACCGTCAATGATTCATTTCAATCCAAAACATTTGTAGGCTTTGTTCAAGAGAATGGTGGGCGATTTAATTTGTTTTTCTGGTACATCTCTCGCTCAAACACGATAAAGTCCAATGACTCGAGTTATAAAGAATCGATACTCGATAGTTTACAGCAGTTCATTGAAAAAAAATCAATCAATCTAATTTAAACAAATTATATAGACCGTGTCCACAGTATTCGGGACAAATGTTTTTAATGGGGAAATGGATTCCTTCAATGGATCCCTTCAATGGACCCCTTCAATGATCCCCTTCAATGACCCCGTTAATGGAACCCTTTAAATTGATCCCTTCAATGGGTCCCTTCAATGGATCCCTTCAATGGACCCCTTCAATGTTTCGACCCCCCCCCCACACCAAAAAAAAAAAACAACAACAAAAAAAACACCACGTCTATTCCTCCAGATTCTGTCACAATAGATTCTACCCCACATCCAGATTCTGTCACAATAGGTTCTACCCAACATCTAGATTCTGTCACAATAGATTCTACCCCACATCCAGATTCTGTCACAATAGATTCTACCCCACATCCAGATTCTGTCACAATAGATTCTACCCCACATCCAGATTCTGTCACAATAGATTCTACCCCACATCCAGATTCTATCACAATAGATTCTACCCCACATCCAGATTCTGTCACAATAGATTCTACCCCACATCCAGATTCTGTCACAATAGATTCTACCCCACATTTTTCATGAACCCATTTCATAGTCATATAAACCTTTTTTGTCTCTGACAAGGACAAGGGACTTTCTCTTACGATTCCAGAACCTTCCATAATAGGCACTAGAAATATAGTAAAAAGATGAGTACGCTCTTCTATAATACAACAATACCTTGGACAGTAACAATGTGTCATACTATCAATGACATCATAACACACCTCCTACCATCAATGACGTCTTAACACGCCCCCTACCATCAATGACATCATAACACACCTCCTACCATCAATGACATCATAACACGCCTCCTACCATCGATGACATCATAACACACCTCCTACCATCAATGACATCATAACACACCTCCTACCATCAATGACATCATAACACACCTCCTACCATCAATGACATCATAACACACCTCCTACCATCAATGGCATCATAACACACCTCCTACCATCAATGACATCATAACACATCTCCTACCATCAATGACTTCATAACACACCTCCTACCATCAATGACATCATAACACACCCCCTACCATCAATGACATCTTAACACACCTCCTACCATCAATGACATCTTAACACACCTCTCACAATTGTTCATCCGTCGAAGATTGACGATGACCATCGAGTCATCTGGTGACTGATGACTTGCACGGGTGACTTTTGTTTAAAGTGAGCAAGAGTTGCGCGGCGTCAACCTCACTCGCTCGTCCGGGCCCACCATATCCAGTGGCAAGACTCTACATCAAGACGACAAGGGATGGGTACGGTTGCAGGAATTGTCATTGTATGCGCCTTACGGGACTCCAATTCCGGGTTTGAATTCAGTTTCCTTTTCTTAGATGAGTTGCCGACCAAGGTTAACGAGTCTCATCCACACGGGGTGATGTTTTTGCTTGACTGGCCTTTGGCTGGAATTGAACTCCAGACCACCAACTGGAATTTTTTCTCAGTTTAGATCATTCAGCCATTCAGCTATCCAGTCACCTCTTACTATCAGCAATGGGTCCTACCATCAACGGCATCCTAACTTACCGCGTACCATCAGCAATGTGTCCTACCATCAATGGCTTCCTAAGACACCTCTTTCTATCAGCAATTGTCTTTTGTATGGCTAATGTCATTTGAACACGTATCTTTTGCATGGCTCATGTTATTTTGGCCACTGGTCTTTTGTATGGCTCATGTCACTTTGGAAACTTGTCTTTCGTACAGCTCTTGTCATTTGCGTCACTTGTCTTTTGTATTGCTCATGTCACTTGGGAAACGTGTCGTTTTTATGGCTCATGACACTTGAGAAACGTGTCTTTTATTTGGCTCATGTCACTTTGGGGCCACTTTTCTTTTAAATGACTCATGTCACTTGGTCCCCTTGTCTTTTTTTTAAGGTTCATGTGACTTGGGCCCCGAGGTCATGTTTGCATCTGTGAGCACGCAATGTTAACATTCATGACTGAAGTTTGGAAAAAAAGACTTAATTGTAAGTGGTCGTCTTGAAAACTATTTGAACATCATTGGAGCGTGACAGTGTTTAAAGGACTCCGATATGTTACTGCGAGTGGCTCAGCGGGTCTGGACCTGGTAATGGCCGCAAAATAAAATAATCACATCGTAGTTACTGAACAAACAAAACAAAAAATCGCTCGAGACCGCTAGTATACAGCCAGAAATCTAGAAGAGGAATGTCTGGTGTCGGCTGGTGGATGCTAATCTAAGATAGGGGATAAGCCTGTTTACTCATGGAAATATAATTTAATTTTTTTTTTAATTTAAATTTTTGATTACACTGTATGTATGCCAACAGAACAGCGCCTGCAGGGCACAAATGACGTGTCAGAAAAGCCCGGATTAACTCAAAACCTGGACAAGTCATTGCCATTCACTGCAGTTACTGAACAATATTATTTTGCACCAGAATCGGTCTCATGAGCCATCTGCGCACCCACAGCCAAGTTCAGAACTAGCACTAAAGCGATGATTAAAATGGTCAAGGACGACTTTGATAGGCGAACTTATATTTAATAGTGTTTTTGAAGGGATGGTGGCTAATGCACACCCATAAATTGGTAACAGATCGAATAAATCAAATTATGAAATTACCTCAGCTTCGTCTGTGAAATCTGAAGAAAGAAAATGTATTTATTTTTCAGCGCTAAAATTCTTCTTTATTTTTTTTTTTTTTTTGCTCAAAGCCATGCATTAAACCAAGCTCTAACCACCAATTGTACAGATTTTTTTTTTATTTTTATTTTTTTTTAAAATGTATAAAAGACATCCAATCTTCAATTTAACTTTTAAAACTAAATTTGTATTTTTTTTATTTTTCAGAGCGAAAATTTTTCTTTATTTTTTTTTTTTTTTTTGCTCAAAGCCATGCATTAAACCAAGCTCTAACCACCAATTGTACAGATTTTTTTTTTATTATTATTTTTTTTTAAAATGTATAAAAGACATCCAATCTTCAATTTAACTTTTAAAACTAAATGTGTATTTTATCGAGTAAGTTGATATACAAGTTGGGAATATTTAGGTGAGTTTAAATAATTATGTTCAGAGACAAAGCCGGATAGAAAGGTTACCACATGACGACTCGTTGACCAAAAGTAATGGAGCCTTAAAATATTGGACATATCTGTTCAAAAAATTATTGGACATATCTGTAGCTAAATATATTGGACGTCTATGTAAGTAAGGACTTATCTGCACCTAAATATATTGGATTTGACAATATTTCAGGAGTATTAGTTACTGAGCCTTATTTTCAGAGTTTGTAGGTTATTACATGTTTCCAGTTTATTCAAACCAATGTTCATTTGAACTTGCTTTTGGGTGTAAAATGTTTGATTTTATTTTACCTTTTTAGGTCTGTATTTTTTTATGTTCATTTTACAAAATATTATTATTAAAATTATGATATTGACATTCTGAGAGAGCTATAAATAATTTCACACATTTATAATGTCTAACAATGTTTCTTACCCCAACTCACAATGTTCATGGATTGGAAAAAGGGACCTTTTAAAAAAATCTATACTTCTCAAATGTTCAATTTTTAAAATTTTAAATTTTCAAAGTTTCAAATGTTCAAATATTCAAATATTCAAATTTTTATAGGTTAAAATAAATTAATTTACTTAATTTTTTTTTAATAGGCAAATTTTTTAACATCCACTGGCTTATCCAAGGTCAGTGCCACGGGGGGGGGGGGGGGATTTTTTTTCTGCCCTCTTTTACGATAAAACTCTGCATTTCGCCGAAAATGCCGCCACTCCATTTGAGGAACAAGAATTCCGCCCGGAGCAGACCGCGCCACT